TATTTTATTAGTATTGTAATAACTAAATAAGGGGTAAGAAAGATGACAAAACTTATAACTCTCATTAAATCTAAAAGTAAAAATGTTGATAAAATTACTTAATGTAAAAGTGGGTATGTTAATCTTAAAATTTTTTAGTTAAGATTTTTATTACTTTCTATCATTAAATTTTTTAATTTTTAAATATTTCATATCAATGAAAATAATATATTTTTAAAAAATTTTATGAACAAAAATTGACTCGACAATATTATTAATGAATTTATAAATTGTAAATATTTAATTAAAATATTAGTAAAAAATTGTAATTATATATAATATAATATAGAATATACAAATACTTGATATATAATGAGGCAGATGATCGAAAAAATTCTATATTTTATATTATGTCGTTTTTGACAAATCTAGAGTTAAGAACATGTGAAAGAACAAGATAAATGTTTTAAAAAAATATTAAATATAAGAAATAATATGAATAATAACTAAGTTGTGACACATACTAATAAATAGAAAATAAACTAATAAACAAAAATAATATAATTAATATAACTAAATATAAACCTTCTAAAAATATACTTATCGATGTAATCGAACTGAGTTGTTAAACGCTTGTTAATTTTTTGTTCTTATTAATTTTATGTGTAAGTTTGAGGTGATAGACAATAGTTATTTGTACACTTATACATGTAGATTAGAAAAAAAAAAATATTTATTATTCTAATTTTAAATAACTCTTTTATTTACTATATTAGTTTTTTAAAATAATATATAAGTATCATATTAAACAGATAAAACAAGAAATATTTTAATTATATAATATTTCATATGTAAAAAATGTAACTCAATTGGTAAATTAATAGATAATATTGGGATAAAATAATGAGTGATTTCTGAAAAGAAAAATATAGGAACTAAAAAGTTCACGTTTTTTAAAATATTTTTAATAGAAAAATTGTAAACACAATTACTCAATAAATACTACATAAAAATATAAGAAATATTATATCCTCCCTATATGTAATTAAAAAAACACAACTTTTCTCAATTCAACATAAGCAAATCGATGAAAATAATATATTTTTAAAAATTTTATGAACAAAAGTTGACTCGACAATATTATTAATGAATTTATGAATTGTAAATATTTAATTAAAATATTAATAAAAAATTGTAATTAAATATAATATAATAGATATACAAATATTTGATATATAATGAGACAGATGATCGAAAAAATTCTATTCTTTATATTATGTCTTTTTTGACAAATCTACAGTTAAGCACATGTGAAAGAACAAGATAAAGTTATAAAAAAAAATTAAATATAAGAAATAATATGAATAATAACTAAGTTGTGGCACGTACTAATAAATATAAAACAAACTTATAAACAAAAATAATATAATTAATATAACTAAATATAAACCTTCTAAAAATATACTTATCGATGTAATCGAATGAATTGTTAACCGCTTGTTAGTTTTTTGTTCTTATTAATTTTATGTGGAAATTTGAGGTGATAGACAATAGTTATTTGTAATTATTTATGTAGATTAGAAAAAAAATCTTTTTTATTCTAATTTTAAATAACTTTTTTTATTTACTATAATAGTTTTTTAATATAATATATAAGTATAATATTGAACAGATAAAACAAGAAATATTTTAATTATATAATATTTAATATGTAAAAAATTTAACGCAATTGGTAAATTAATAGGTAATCTTGAGATAAAATAATGAGTGATTTCTGAAAAAAAAAATATAGGAACAAAAAAGTTCACGTGTTTAATATTTAATAGAAAAATTGTAAACGCAATTACTCAACAAATACTACATAAAAAATAATGTTTGAGAGGACTACACAAATTTTGCTATACTGCAATGAAAAATTCAACAGTAAGGTATTCTACTGAAAATTTCAACGAATATATTGCTTTCATTTGCTATTCCAATAGAGTTTAAATTAAATTACATGAACTTTAGTGGATGTAAAGATTTCAATTACCTGAATTTCTATTGGAATTTATTTTTTGGACCATATTTCAATCGTTGAAAAAATTGTCATTGGTATTATGCAAAAATTCAATAGAAGTTCCATTGGAAAGATGATTGCAGTGATAGATCCAAAATAATTTCATATTGGGAGCATTATTTAGTTAATAGAAAAAAATATACCATCAAAATAACATGTCATTGCAGTTTATAAATTATACTTTACATAATCTATCATCTTTCTCATTTGTAATACATTTTAATAAATCTATGCAATCACAATAAGGTAAAATATATTTAAGAAATCAAAAGTCAAGATTTTTCTAAAATCAACGTACGAAAACCGTTATATTTGTTGGAATTTTCTCATTTTCTTGTAGTAAAACTAAGACTCCAAATCTATAGAAAAATGCATTATATATAATATTGTGTGCACTATTATTATGAAAATTTTTGATGCGATAGAAAATATAACACATTCAATGTAATTGGCATTCAATTTATGATATGAATTAATTTTTTCAAAGCAAACAAGATACTTTGAAAGGTCCTTAATTATTTTATTAGTATTGTAATAACTAAATAAGGGGTAAGAAAGATGACAAAACTTATAACTCTCATTAAATCCAAAAGTAAAAATGTTGATAAAATTACTTAATGTAAAAAGTGGGTATGTTAATCTTAAAATTTTTTAGTTAAGATTTTTATTACTTTCTATCATTAAATTTTTTAATTTTCAAATATTTCATATTTTTTATTTGTTACCATTTTATATGTAATATATCACATCATTTGTTTTCAATGATGTTTGAGTGGACCCATATATTGCAATAAAATAAAAATAATATAATTATTTATATTGATATAAAATAATATATATATATATATATCAGTAATAATTTAAAATAATAAATTAGTCTTAAAGCATATAATATAATAATTTTTATATTAAAGTTAAATCAATTTTATTAAGTATAAAATAACATAAGATAAACTTGTGGTATGTTTTCCATACATAAATTTGAAACAATTCATATTAAAAAAAATAAAAAAATGGGTGTAAACTTCTAACTGTTCCCACGTTTTGGCTAGAGCGCCCAAATCCGATATATGTTTGACACGAGTTTGTCGTGATGCTGAAACTATGAAAAATGCACCTTAAGGTACAAACGACGCGAAACAATGTGAAGTCATAGATAAAAGGAAAGGCTAGGCCAAAGAAAGGAAATGAAATACATTAGCTATGTGAAGTCAATTATTGCTGCAAAATGAACCCTATAATGGTGGTACCATATATGTGTTCAGTGATTATAAAAATGACTTAGTTAATTAATATTTTATCAAACATTGGAAAAAATTCTAAAACTTTTTAATCTAATAATTCGTATAAAAAGTACAATTTTATCAAATATATTAAATTACATTTAATCATTATGTGATTATATTAATTGTAGCCTAATAAATAAGATATTTTGATACCATAATTATATCAAACACATACAAAAAATAACATAATACGTATACATGTGCTTTAGTTACTTAGCAAATAAAATATTATTTATCTATAGAATAAGAAACAAATAATATAATAGTAATGCAATGAGAAAAAGAAAGCATGCTAATTTTCTTAGGAAAGTATGAATACCAATATTTACAAACAAAAAGTCTTTTAAAATTACTACTTTTTTGTTGCTAGCGTTTAAATATATGGACTGTAAGAAATTGGTTCTCATAAATAATGATCATATATTATTTATTTTCAATTTTAAATAATTAAAAAATCTAAAAATTTGTATACATGATGTATATTTTAATCATGACTCCATAATAATAAACTTTACAAATGACTAAAAGTATCGTCATATAATGGAATTCTAATTCTTATGTTGTCAAATATTTTAATAAATGATATGCTTCTCAATATTTTCTCATTGTTTCGTTTTATCATTGCAAAAAATAGATTATATTGTTCGTCTATATTCTAGATAAATAACACTGAAATGAAATGTAGGAGTATCAAAATAGTTTTGAATGTTAGAATTAAGTTATCACTTTTTATAGAAATATTTATAATCTCATTGGTTTATTGTGCTTGAACATATGTGCAATTACTTTAGAGGTATTTTCAGGTAATGTATGATGATTTCAAAAAATAATTTAGCACATCGGGAGAAGTACATGTAACCAAGATTTTGGAAAGTCGGCTTTTATTTGGAGATAAAATTCATTCCCACCTCGTGGGGCGATGCATCAATGGGGTAGACACCAATATATCTAGAGATAGCGGAATGTAGTAGTTTATACAGTGATAAAAAATATCAGCAATTTTAGTGACACCGTTAGTTATTTCATAGAGATATTTATCCTTTGTTGGTAGAAGTACATTAACTAATAATAGAGTATAAACAAGATGTACCTTGTTATAAAAATCATACAATCATGAAGTTTGACTATATGTTGGGTCAAAATGTTTCTTAAGTGTTTGAAAAAAATTGGCGTTTTGCCAAATTAATTAAGAGGAATTTTGCAATAGTATTGATGTATTGGACTACAATGACTATGAATGTTCTTATGAGAACTTTAAAACTAAAATGAAAGAAAATATTTGTGTTTTTTTATTAGGAATTTGTTTTTATATATATATTTTTGTTGGGTTTGTAAAACGTTATTTCACGATTTTTATATGAGGACATCATTATGTTAATTGTAAATAAAAAAATCACATATGAGTTCATTTTTTCTATATTTTACTTCATTTATGCAATGATATGTTTAATAAATAAATTAATTTATTTTACAAACTTATTCCGCGAAAATTATTCGACACAACGTGCATCGCATGTGCACTTTACTAGTATTTTTAAATGTTCAAGTCCAACCCTTTGCCACTATAAATTGCACATTAATCTGTATCATTTTGAAGCGTCCACGCAAAACAATTCCAGTTTTTGAAACTCAACAAACTTTTTTTTCAAACTAATGAACAAACTGGAAAACCGAAAATGGAAGAGGCACAAGTAACAGAGATTCTATTGCCCCACAAGACACCATCAATTTCTCCCCGAGATTCATTTCACCAGCCCGATTTCGAGCTGAAAAGCTACAGCTCGGGCCTGACATGGGTTTTTCTTGATTACTCCAGCCTGTGGCGGGCCGGGCTTTCTTGGTCTGTTTTTTTTTCTTGCTGAATATCGGCGTCCCCATCGTGTCCCACTTCGTGTTTTCTTGCTCCGCCTGCGATCCCGACCACCAGCGGCCGTACGACGCGGTTGTCCAGCAGTTGTTCTCGCTGTTTGCGGCGGTTTCTTTTGCCAGTCTCTCGTCTTTTGCGCGTAAATATGGACTCCGCAGGTTTCTGTTTCTCGACAAGCTTTGTGATGAAAGCGAGAGAGTTCGGCAAGGATATACTCACCAGCTTCATGTATGAACTTCTGATTCATCCCTTTTTATTTTTATTTTTTGGCTTCTTGGGATTTCTAAGACTAGCGTGAACACCTTTGCTTAAAATTAATCACGGTTGAGTTTGAACTGAAATTCCCATTATTAGTCGTACTTTCAGTTATGATACGAAAATTTTCCCAATATATCGCTTTGCAGAGATCGATGAAGCTCCTATCGACATTCGTCCTCCCCTGTTTCTTTATGAACAGCTTGTACAAGATATGGTCGTTCAGTTCGGTTGGAAATCAAATCCCGTATTTATACAACGTGTATTTAAGCAAAGTAATTGTGTGCATACTACTAATGTGGTCGTGGCTGTGCCGGATCTCGATATGTTTCCTCGTGTGTGTTCTGTTCCGCCTCTCGTGCTGTCTCCAGATACTGAGACTTGAGGAGTTTGGTCAGGTCTTTGAGAAGGAATCTGACGTGGCATCCATCCTGATCGAGCACCTTAGGATAAGACGGCACCTTAGGGTCATAAGCCACCGGTTTAGGCTCTTCATTTTGTTGACTTTGATTTTGGTGACCATAAGTCAGTTACTTTCGTTGCTGGTTACTCTCGAGCGCAGCTCGCCAGTAAACCTCTCCACGGCTGGGGAGCTCGCTGTAAATTCTTCATTTCCGTATCTTATAAGTTGAATAATTTAGTTATAATCTTAAAGTTCGTTGATATCTCTCTCTCTCTCTCTCTAATTTTTTTCGTTTGTGCAGCTATATATGCTCGATTACCCTAGTGACGGGTCTCTTTATATGCTTGAGGAGTGCAGCCAAGATAAAGCACAAGGCCCAGGCTGTGACGTTATATGCTTGAGGAGTGCAGCCAAGATAACGCACAAGGCCCAGGCTGTGACGTCCCTTGCTGCCAAGTGGCACGTCTGTGCCACCATCGACACGTTCGACGAGCTGCCTGATGACACCTGGACGATGTACCAGATCATGCCAGCTGGGACAGGATGTGAGATCGCTGCCGCCAGCTGGGACTCAGATAGCGAGGCAGACGATGTGCTCGACAACACCAAACTCGTCCCTATCTACACAAATACCATATCCTACCAAAAAAGACAAGCCATAGGCAAGTTTGGCCATTACTTTCTCTTCTTTTCTTTTCTTTCAACAAAAATCCTTTTACGTTATTTTTGGGAAGTGTGGGTGCTTGTTCGGAAAGACAATGACTATCGAGCGAAACTATTGTATCTCTGTGTGTGTATGTGTTTTATTTATTTAGCTAGCGCAAACCTTAAGGTACAAGTTTTTCCATGCGCCTTTTTTTTTTTTTTTTTTTTTTTCGAACTAAGACGTGTAGAAAATGATATGACGGTGTGGTTTTCTTTGGTGATTGTGATGTAGTAACGTATTTAGAGCACAACAAAGGTGGAATCACAGTGTATGTATTCATGCTGGACAGGACTTTGCTGCACACGATATTCGCTATTCAGCTCTCTCTGACATTGCGGATTTTGAACAAGACGATCGGCATTTCGTGATCTGGTGTTTTTGGTAAGAGTGTTTGTACTGTACGTATTTTCTTGGTGTATACTTAAGTAATGGGAGCTCCATTATTATTACAGCCTACTTTTGAATTTTCCTTAGTTGTATTTCTTCTTAAATCTTAAGGTTCAATTGGGGAGTCATGTGAGTGTTCATATCATACATGTTCATGTTTTGGATGTTTTTTTTCAGTTTAGTCTTTTTCCATTTACCAGAATAATGAATTTGGAGAAAATTATTCATTCTCGTGGTAGCAATATGACTACCTACTCAAATGATGTAATTTTTTTCACAACGTAATGCAGTCGTTTTATTTTTTTTCAATGTATAAGCGTTGTCTCTTATGTCGTGCCATAGACCTGCATGTTTGCCTCCAGGTCGAGTGTCTATCAAGCTAACGAGATCCTTAGCTCGATCTGGTGGTGAGCTCCCTTAATTACCTATAACGTCACCATCAACCTGATGATCTTCTACCTTTGGTGCATTCGATGTCAAATTGACCTACCGATCCACCCGATCTAGTCAAACCGCTCCTTAGGTCGTATTCGACTTGGTATGGGATCTCATATCAGGACTAATGATCGAATTGCTAAAGCTACACGTTTAATGGTTCGTCAGTTCGATTAGAATATTAGAATATTACTTGTGAGTTGTCCATCATCGTTTTGTACAGAAAAAATAGGTCTAACTTATAAGTCTAGTGGACTATTCCTCCTACTACCAATTGGAGGGTACCCTCTTACAGTGCGCTGCACGTGCATGAGACTGTACCCATTTCCCCGATTCTTTCACTAATATTTACTAAATAAAGATAAAAAAAAAAATTGGTTCAACCGACCGATTCTTTGGCGATCGGTGTTTTTAGGATGATCGGATCGGTCATACGAGTTGCTCCTGGACCGATTGACTTATGTTTTTAAAGCAGAGTAACTTATTTAGGGACCCAATATACTTCATATATATATTCCAGTACTGGTTGGAAAAATCAAATAGTTAGAGCAAATAAGCAGCACATAAGAAGATATTACAAAGCTACTAGTGCAAATCTACTCATATTATTAATTAGAGCTAAGTAGATTTATTTTTCAATTTTTTTTTAATTCATTTTAATTTATTTTAACCTGTCACAATCGACGTTAGGATCGATGGGCACTGGGACGGCTACGCTGCATAGATCGGGAATCTGTTTGGCTCTTGCCACATCGACTCCCATGGCTGCAGCCGCCTGTTTCAGGCATTTGCACGCGGCTTTCAGCTCCTCCGGCTTGGAGCCGACCAGCTGGCTCAATGACTGGGCTCCCTCGCAGCACGGGACACTCACACTGCTGCCTACGTCCAGCAGAAACGGCTGGCACGGCATTAGCTTCGTTATGGCGTCACTGCAGCTGATGGCTCCGACCATCGGCTCGGCTGCCAGAAAGACCAACATGCCCAAAATCAATACGGCCCTGTTCTCCACTTTTGTATACATATTTCGATGTTTGGATCGAATTTGAATTAATTATTATTATTATTATTATTTGATTATTATTTATTATGGTTGTGATGTTCTTATATCTTTTTGAATGAATGGGAGAACAGTGATACTTTGGACTCTATTTATAATGCAAGAGTGCAGGGCTTTGAGTGAATTTCAAATTGATACTCATAAGTGGGTGGATTATTAATTAGATTCTGTTGATAAACTTGCTTTGAATTGCGCCATTAATGTGGATGGTGTGAATGTGATGAGGATTATAAAAACAAAAATCTGGTGGTTATGAGTGTGGATGAGAATTAAGTTGTGTAGTTTTGCTAGCTACCTATTAGCCAAAACTAGTGCGGTACCCGTGCGACGCACGTGCTAGTTTTATCAAGATAAACATTTAGATTTAGATGATTGTATGATTAGATGATAGGAGAAACCTAAAACACATGCATGCATCGAAATAAAACAAAATATAACTTATATATATTATTAAACATATCCTTGTACACAACATTATTTGTTTGATCTTTTAGTACATCGTTTATGGCCACAAATTATACTAGGATTCTAGATAGACTTAAATAAATCAATTAAATTATTTATCATGATATATATGATATGATTTATATTGATTTTGTGAAGATTGCATAGCCAAATATAACGGAGATTGTAAAACATATTTCTTGATAATTTATAGTCTTATTAATTTAAAATTATAAATTACTTAATTTAAGGAAGGGAAAAATTGTATAAGTGTATGCAATCAATTTCAAATTTGTAGTCTAGAGGATTAAACAAAACTCAATATTTTAGTATGTTCCAACCGATTTCATTTTGAATTTCAAATTAATATTATCTGACTTTGTTTAATGTTTAAAAAATATTTGAACTAAATAGAGTAGTAGTCAAATTATGAGGGATTTTTAAATTTTAATTTTTAATTTGAAATCATGCCCGAATTCTATGCAATCCGATATTTTTAATAAACATGATATGCTGCAATTAGGTAAAGATACGTGTTATAATATTTTGCCTAATTCGAAATTCCTGATTTTATGGTAAACAATTTTTTAATAAAAAATAAAAAAAAATTAACTTTTACAAAATTGTCATGCCGAATGTTACCTAAATTAACCCAATTTCTGTGCAATCTTATTTTTTTTAATAACCAATTGATCTATTGCAATTAGGTAAAAATATACTCCCTCCTATTCATAATAATGTCGTTTTGAGAAGTTGCACAGTAATTAATAATATTTTTTTTGCCCACAATAACCCTCTTTAATGAAATAGAGATGAATGTTTTGAGAAAAAGATAATGAGTGAACATGAAATGCGTAATATATTTATTAGCTAAATGAGGATAGTAATAGAAAAATATGTTCAAAATATCCAAAACGACATTTATTTTGTTAATGGTTGATAAAACCAAAATGACATTTAAAAAGAATAGGAGGTAGTATTGTTTGTTGTGTTTTTGTGCTTATTTCTATGTGATTTTTATGGTGAGTCAAGTCATTTTTGGCTCTTATTTGTGTCGTGTCGGTCCATTCCATTCGTTTTTATCGTTTTGTATGTTTCGTGTCTTTTTTCCTTTTTTGTTGCTTTTCCTTGTTTTTTCGGTGTTTTGTAGGTTTAACGGAAGAAGATCGGTTGGGAGAATCGTCTTTATCGAGTGGCATTTTGAGCACTAACACGTTCGCGGCCCCGACGCCAATCCGCGACCTTGCGAAAAGCCCCAAGGAACACGAAGATTTGCGACCCCAGTGCATTTTCGCAACGCCGCGCGTGCCCAGGTTCATTTCGCGACCCCAGTGCCATTTCGCAACGTTGCGCGTGCTTTTGCCAGGACTAATTCCATGTTCGCAACCCCAATGCATTTTCGAGAAGTTGCGCGTGCCTATGCCCATGCCAAGTCCACAATTCGCGGCCCGAACCTCATTTCGCAACGTTGCGCGTTTAGTTTATTTAATGTGCATTTTTTTTTGTGTGTGTTTTTGGAGGAGACTATTAATATTTTTTGGCCCTTTGTATTTTGATTATCCACCTTTTACTATATCACTTTTCCTTTTCGGTACTTAACTTATATTTTAAGTTTTCTCTCTAGACTACGGAGTTCATGTCATTTTCCGGTAGTTTTTCCGGCGACTTCCTTTTCGTTCAAGTTTCGAGCTTTTGACTTCGATTTTCATCTACTATGCAATAGAAGATTGGGTATTTATCTTTAAAGCTCTTTACTTCGATTTTTGCCTCGTTTTTACCTATAATGCTTGTTAAGGTAAATTTGAGTATTGTGGATGACTGAGGGAAAGTTGAGACTTGGTCGTTTTTGTTGCTTGCTTGAGTTTATGTAGGAATTAATTGTTTGCCTATCTAGAAAGATTAGGACTCTATTTAGAGCTTAATCACTTAGGGTTAGAAGGTTAGGTTAAATTACCTAGGGATCGAAGCTTGCATCTTTCTCTTTGTTATTTGTTTTATTTTTATTGCGCCAATGGCATGAGACTCCGATAGTTTAGTTTCGCTATTTGCTCGTGATTTGCTATTGCTCGTAATTAATTATCGTTTAGTGTTAATCCATCTCCGAACCAATTGATTAGAATGTTTATGATTTATTTTCTCTTTTTGTGATTTGGACAATTAAATAGTAAACGAAGCTCCGAACCGTCTTCCTTTTGAGAACGACCCGAGTCGGGTAGCTCGGTTACCTCTTGACCATAAAAATCTACAAACATGTGATAGTATTTTTCCTAATTCGAAATTCTCGATTTTATGGTAATCATTTTTTTAATAAAAATTGAGAAAAAATTTTGACTTTCATAAAATTGTAAGCATCAATCAAAATTAACCTAAATTAAATCCACAAAACCCATGAATTTAGAGTGCATATATAGTTGATCGATTTGTTGGGAATAATTTAAAAAAAAAAATAATTCAAAAGCTGCCAAAAATATAATGCAATAAATGTTGGTTGACTTTTTTTGTTACTATTTTTGGTACTTAAATTCTTCTCTTTATATAGATATAGATAGATATAGATATGACACGACGTTAGATTAATCTGTAACTAGTTTTAACCAGTGCATTTACACGGAAAGCAACATGATACATAAAAATAATAATAATATAAAAACAATTATAAAAATCAGTATTAAATAATGAAAAAAATAAAGAAAAAATAACTATTATTAAATATTTCTTTATATTTCTATCAAAATTCTCATCACCATAAATCATTATCTTTAAACCATCCGACTTGTAACTCTGGAAAACGCCACGTATAATTGCCCATGAAGGTGTTAACGAAGACACATCGGATGACATAACTAAAATAATCAAACTGATATAGTTAAAATATGTGCTAATTTTTTTTTTAAAAAAAAAATCCAAACACAACATATAACTTTATATAACGTAACAATTAATATTTACACAATTTGTGACAAAATAAAATGAAGAAAACATAGAAACATGAAAGTTTGTAATATTACAGTCTCTATTATATGTAAAAAATTACACGTGTAATGGTTTTACTTGTTTAAATGATTAAATATTGTACTACAAATAATTGAGGTCAATTTTGTTAATAAATATATTTTTTAGAATTCTATATTGTATTAATGTATTTTGGCCATGTATTTATAAAATATGAGCTCAAATGTTTAAAAAGCATAAAATTGGGCCACAAATAAAAAAAAAATTGGCGAATTTTTAAGTTTACCACGTGATTTTAAAGTTTTTGCATTTGTGTCAAGGGTGGGATATTATTTGCATTCTTACCTATTTAAGTAAATTTAATTGGCCAAAGCAAAAAATATCAGTTATCTTAATAAAATCAGATTATGTAACTGCCAATCCGCCTTTACAGAACATGCAAAAAAAAAAAAGATCAACTCTCCTCAAATTGCGGGAGTAATAGTTTGTCGTTTTTGTTGGAAAAAAAAAAGTCAAAATATATTGTAAGTGTATATATTCTAATATCTAGGATATTGCTCCATTCAAATTAAACGATATAGATTTTGAAGCTACATGATCAGGCATGCGTTGTTTATGTTCTATATACAGAATATATACATCACATATACTGTCATGAAAACAACTACAAAATTATTGCAGTCGATTTTTAATAGAAAGTATATATTGCGTTTATAGTTAGTATATATGCAGTATATAACCCGATTTTTATTTGCATAACAACTACAATTGTTATGTTTGAATTTTTGTTCAGTATAACTTATCATATACATATCATAAACTGATAATAATTATTATTTTAATAAATTATTTTAGTATATGTAGAGTATATGATAACAAATGAAGAACGCGCCGGATTACAAACATAAGAAGCACGGGCGATGAAAACATATACTGAACATATACTGCACATACCCACAACATATAATGACGTTTATGAGTTTACGACATATTAATATCATCCCATCAATAATGCCATTAAAAAGGTCCAGAAACTCCCAATCCACACATCCACATTCCCCTTCCCGCACGTCCTCCATCTTCACCATCAACCTTCGAAAATCGTTGTATGGAATTTTTAATATCTCCAAACGCCGAAAATCGTTGCTGGAGAGTTTAATATCCCAGTTTGAAGAAAAAAGACCAGGCTTCGGGGAGAAAAAAAAAAGAAAGGAAAAAAGAAAAGAAGAAGATGTATGGAATTTCGAATTTTAATCGAT